ATACGAGCCAATAAACAATTTTACTCATTGTCAGATATAAAACTTCAAACGTAATATATTCTTTATGTTAATTATATTCAAACACAAACTGACAGAACGTAAACATAACATACAATACATATATGTTTGACTGTCGCGCTTTATTACACCTACGCCGTTCTGCGCATGCGAGACGTTTTTTGTCGGAATCCCGAGCACGACGAAAAGTTGTCGCCCGGGCGTTAATACGGAACGCACCCCTGGAACTTTCTGAATTCTCTCATCAGCTTGTATTATTGACTGGAAGGTTTCCGAAAATCGCTTCTATTCTTCGGTTTTCCCATCAAACTCGGAAACTTAAATGTCTTCCATTAAATGTCGACAACTTTACTCTTGATTCTTGGCTGTTTATTCCGCTTATATTCTACGTTTGTTGTTCTCATAAATGCGCAATTGTTTTACTATTGCTACTAGCTTGTGAATTGCTACCTTGCAAGCTTATTTGCCTTATGAGCTCGCTTTGTTGTTGTAACGCATACACTAATGTTTCATCACTCGTAGCTGAATCTGCTTCGACCTGACTGCGATGAGGTGCTATTGAGTAATCTTAATTTTACCTTTGATTGAAAATATCTTTCCTTGACTTCGGCTTCTTCCGTAGTTTACACTACTATTGCTTCTCCATCCGTGGCTTCAGCAATTTCACGCTGCACGCTTTGGAACTCACTCCATATGTCTTCTAACCTCGCAAGATATACCTTGATCTCTTCTTTAGTTGCTTGATCCTCGCTTAATTGACTGATTCTTGCTTATAATCTTGTCAATCCCGCTTTAATCGTCCCATGTTGCTTGCGAAGGTTCGCTGTTTTGGATATCTTTCTAGAATGTTAACTCTTCGCTCTTTATCACAACTTGCACTCGTGACTCGTAACGTAGAGCTTCGTTTTTTGGTTTCGTGGACTGTTTCTTTCTCGTCTTTTTTGATCCGGCTCGAAGGATTAAGGTTTTGGCTTGAAAAAGGGCTTGATTCCACACAAAATCATTTTATTGAAACTTACGTTTTATAATATGTCTTGACGACACAACCATAGCGATATATCTAATAAAAGCGCTCGCATTTTTAAAGAACAAACTTTTGCGCTAGCGACGTTCGTGAAACTCCGCGGTCGGTAATATTATAATAGCATGAGGTAAGTCAATGACCTGTCACTGTTATCGACGGTATATACGCATAAATTTCTCATATATAAGAGCTGTTTATATACCTTATACTGCAGGCTCGAGTCGCCGTTCTCTAGCAAGAATTAAATAAAAGTGCTCGCTCGTCGCGTTGTAGTTATACAACTTAAATAGACCATCATCTCAATCACGCAACATTCCCCATGCAACATTTCCACGCAACACCTTCATGCAACATCCTCATGCAACACCCTCTACACAACATCCTCTAGACAACACTCCCACGCTACATCTTTCATGCAACACTTCCGCCTAACCTGCGTGCTGATGGCTGGGCAAAACATGAGCCCACGTCTGTATGAGCTGACGCCGGTACGAAGTGTTACAGAAAAAATTAAAAGTTGCTTGAGAAGCGCTTTGAAGTTAATAATTCCGCCATTTTAAATTGATAATAAAATATAATAGCACACTGTACTCTGAAAATTCGTATCACATGCACGCACGCATGCACTTTCTCTCTCTCTCTCTCTCCCTCCCTCCCTCCCTTCCTCTCTCCCTTACACATACGCACGCACGCATGTGCCTTGTACAGACGGGGACATTAATGCCTAGACATCTGAAGGTGCATGCATATCTAGAGAAACCAATGAGAAGCACGCGTTGGACGGAAAGCGTGCTTCTTATTGGTCTCTCTAGATATGCATGCAACTTCAGATGTCTAGACATTAATGTCCCCGTCTGTACATATAAGTATGTATTTACTTTGTAAATTTTATAATATAAAAATCTAAAAATTAAACAACCATAATTTGATTTAAAAAATTATACGGTCATGAACCAAACGTTCGTTTGAAAACTATTATTGAATGATACTTTTACATGCCGTTTTATTTAGAAATCAGTTTCTGTTTTTTGCTGCAAGAAAATGTGAAATATGGCCAAAAACGCCATTTTTGGTCACTTTAATTCTAATTTACTCAAAATCCTGCTAGGTGAATTTTTCAAACGGCATCGTGTTCAGTGCGAAAAAAATCTTCAGGAAATGTGTGGTGGCATTTCGGAAAGAATTTCGCTGTAGCACAGTGTTATTAATTAAATTGTTTGTAACGGAAATATAAACAAATAAATTAAATGTGTGTATTATAAATTTAATCATTACAAAAACGAACTCTAATAAAAATGTTTGCATTGTATATGGATTTAATTATTTTGTATATAGATTCATATATAGCATATTCCAGCTATGTAATTTAAATATATTAAGATTTCAATTTAAATACACTGAAATGATTAAACAATAGAAATTATTTCATCAGTTCAATTTTCTAATAATGAGTACGAACCTGAGCAAAATTTACGTATCGTATATGTAATTTCGAAATTCGAAATTTATATATACGATACTGAATAGCCTCCTGCGGTGGGTTGCACTCTCCCCACTATGCTGTCCATACGCGCAGATGCAGATATGTTTTTGCTATCAACGGAGTATAAAAACCTAGCTCAAGATAAATTTAAGTATACCCATTCGATACTTTATTAACCCAATAATTTTTATATTAACTTTTTATGTTTTATTTGCATCTGCAATTATTAAATATTCTATACAGTATATAACATAAAATGTAAAGAAATTATATGTATAGAGATTGTAGAGTATAGAGAAGTATAGAGAAAATGTACACAGATTATAAATATTGACATTACAAGAACGTGCAAAATAATATTCTAGCTTGATTATGTTATTTATATTAATATTTATTTTATGTATATTTTGGGTTTTTGGATTATAAAAATGTATAAAATAATAAAAAATTAAAATTATAAAATGTACTAAAGGTATATGAATAATAATATGTAATAAAGTATATGGTTATATTTGAATCAAATTCAGTGAATATCAGTATAGTGAATATTAGAAATAGTGAGCCGACGCAAGATGTACTTGTTTATAAATATAATATTTAAACTATACAAAAATATAAAAGCTGACAATAGTAGTATACAATAATTATTGTTAAAACTCCGGACGTTTTGAAAAAAGGTCTTTAAAAGAAGGTCATCTTCAGCGAAATAAACTTAATAATTATAATAATAATAATTATTATTATAATTATTGTATACTATAATTTAAAATCTATCATACAGTACTCGTAAATGAAATCCAAGATGTTCACATTTTCCCACTCATAGATCAGTTTCGTAAGCGATCTCACAGATGTGGTATGGTCAAAAATTCTTTCCATACTTTGATTGTCGAAGTCTCCAGCATCATTCGAGGTGTACGAATACAGAAATGTTTAAATGAGTTACTGAGGGAACAAGATATCGAGAAAATTAATATGAGAGTCATGATTTATCGACAACACAACAAATAAATAAATAAATAATTAAAATAAAAAATAATAAAATTGAAGTTAATAAATAAAATTAAAACTTAAGATTGATATCAAAAAAGGAAATAAAATATCAAAAATAAATTGAGATACTAAAAAAGTAAGTCATTAATATAAAAATTACTAAAATTAATATAAAACTTTTATTATTTTGCTAATTAAAATTGTCAACAAACAAAAGAAGTGGCTCCCCCGCCGTGATCTCAGAACATCGTTTATCTGAGAATCATGAGTTTGATAACTATGTACAAATTCTAGACAAAGAACCTTCTTTTATTATAAGAAGCATATCAGAAATGGTCCATATAAAAAAGTAATCGAGTGGTTTAAATAAACAAATACATATATTTGCGTATATGACAGGATTTTGAATTATAGATTTGTTATTAAGTTTATTTCGCTGAAGATGGCCTTCTTTTAAAAGTTCTTTTAAATATACATATATTTGCGTACATGACAGGATTTTGAATTATAGATTTGTTATTAAGTTTATTTCGCTGAAGATGGCCTTCTTTTAAAGGTCGAAACTTCCGGAGTTTCAATGATAATTATTATATATTACTATTGTCAGTTTTTATATTTTTGTATTGTTTGAATATTATACTTATAAGCAAGTACATTTTGTGTCGGCTCACTACCTTTTGTCCTAATATTTATTTATAAATATAAAATAATATTTTTATTATTGATTATTTATATACTAGTATTTATTTTATATATATTTTATTTTTCAGACATTTAATGGAGAAACTACAGAATGTCAATTAACATCAACTATTTTAGCAACAAAAGTACATGATTTTAAACCGTTACCTGGATTTGATTCTAATCTTGATAATTTGCAATATTATCGTGCTCAACAAGAAATTGATTGTGACGAAATATATCCTGGTATATACATCGGTGATGGGTGAGTACAAGAAAAACATATTGCGCTAAAGGAGAATAATAATGAAATTTTTTTTCTTGTGAAGTATTACAGCAAAAAACAAGAAATATCTTGAAATGTTAGGTATAACGCATTTATTAAATGCTGCTGAAGGAAAAAGATTTGGATTTGTAAATACAAATAGTAATTATTATGCAGATACAACAATAAGATATCTTGGCTTGCCAATTAAAGATTTACCTACTGAAGATATTAGTAAATACTTTTATACAACAGCAAATTTTATTGATGAAGCAGTATCTATGGAAGGTAACTATATATTTATCATATTTTCTATGTTTTATTACGTGATACCACATATAGAAAAAGATATATATATATATATATATATATATATGTGTGTATATAAAATAATAAAATTTATTTTTTGTAGGCAAAGTATTCGTACATTGCATGAAAGGTATATCTCGCAGTGCTACATGTGTCCTGGCATATTTAATGATAAAGAAAGATATGTTAGCAGTTGACGCTATACAATTAATTCGCACAAACCGAGATATTTTTCCGAATAAGGGTTTTCTTTGGCAGCTTGCAGAATTAGATAATAAATTACGTAGACAGCGTTTATAAATTTTTGTTTATCATTATCAAAATTTCAGGGTTGAAATGATTTTATTATAAGATATTTAAATAAGAATATAGTTTTATGATAGTTAAGATGCGCATGTACGTATAAATAAAGTTATACACACATTTATTTGATTAAAAATAGTAACTTAAAAAATCTGTAAGGATTAAATAAATGTATTAAATTTTTAGTATTTAAAGATAAATATCTATATCAAATTCTTTCTATTTTTATTACTTCCTTATATGTCGTAAGCAGATATTACGGCACTATTAGCCAATGTTAGTGACTTGATATCGGAGTTATACCGCAAGAACAAGCAATGTACAACCTAGTTGTTATAAAAAAAGTAGTTGTTTAAGAAAAGAGCCAAATTTTAAAATTTTATTTTTCTTTACTCTAATGCATATTTCAGCAAGTGGGCTTTGCGGTAGGCACCTTTCTGGACATTGAGGGGGCTTTTAATAATACCTCACAAGCTGGTTGAGTGGATCCGTGGAATGCTTGGGCGTCATGTGACGACCTCACTAAGAACGGTGATTGTTGAAGGATGGGTAGGGAGAGGCTGCCCCCAGGGGGAGTTCTCTCACCGCTTCTTGGTAGGGGACAGGCTGCTTAGAATGCTCAATGACAAGGGCTTCGAGTCGATCGGGTATGCTGATGATTTGGCTATCCTGATTCGAGGACCTTTCCTTGAGACATTTCTCGAGCTCACACAAGGGGCTTTAGAGGTGGTCGAGAAATGGTGTAGGGAGACGGGTCTGTCGGTGAATCCAAAAAAAACGAGTCTCGTAATCTTCATCCGTAAGTATAAGGTGGACTCCGTGCAGGGGTCTGTCCTAGAGGGAGTCAGGTTGATACCCGAGGGATCGGTCAAGTATCTGGGAGTCATCCTGGATAAAAGACTGAACTGGAAGCTGAAGACGGTGTGAAGAAAGCCTGCACATATTTCTGGATGTGTAGAAGAACCTTCGGGCAAACTTGGGGCCTGCAGCCGGACAGAGTGTTCTGGATGTACTGCAGTGCTCCGGCCAAGATTGCTTTATGCAGCGGTGGTCTGATGGCCGAGGGTACAAGTATCCGAGGCCCGGGCATCGTTGGAGCGCGTCAGGGCTTTCATTCTTAGAGGTGCCCTACTAGGTGCTATGAGGACAACGCCAGTGGCGACAATAGGACTGCTGCTTGGCATTGAACCACTTCACCTCTCGATAGTGGCGACAGCGGCCGCTACTGCTTACAGGAAGTGCGAGGATAAATGGACGGTCGGTGTGACCTACACCCGATTTCTACGGGAACTCCTGACAGGGGCCGTGTTCGAGATGAGGCAGGATAGGATGTTTGTGAAGCGTGACTTCAATAGATCTTTTAAGATCTATATTCCTAGTCGCGAGGAGTGGGAGAGGCATGAGATGCCCGTCATCAGAAACGGGGACATCTGATACACGGATGGCTTCAAGACTGACACGGGCGCCGATGCCGGAATCTACGGATGCCGGAAAGGAGTTAGGAAGGCTCTCTCACTTAGAGAGTTTACTACTGTCTTCCAAGCGAAGGTGGCGGCAATCATGGGATGTGCTCAAGCATTGATTGCATCGAGTGAGATGCGCAAGCGCATCAGGATCTGCTCAGATAGCAGGGTGGCCCTGGGTGCGCTGGGCGCATGTGTCTTTGATTCTCGGCTGATCTGGAAGTGCAAGAATGCGCTGGACCGGTTGTCAATCAACAACAACGTTGCCCTGATTTGGGTCCCAGGGCACTCAGGGATCAAGGACAACGAAATCGCTAATGAGCTAGCAAGAGCTGGCTCAGCAGCCAGAATGGTAGGACCAGAACCGGCTCTAGGCGTGCCCAGCTGTATTGGCAGAGCCAAAATAAAGGGCTGCAGGAACGCCACGCCGACTTCTGGAGGGAAATGATAAGAACCAAGTGCCGACAGGTAAGGACTTTGCTGGGAGAAGTACCCAGAAGGAACCTTGTTAGAAATATCAAGATCTTGAAAAGAAGGGAAGCCAGACTGGCGGTGCAGATCTATATTTATATGGGTTATGGCTTCACCAATTATCACATGCATAAGCTGGGGCACTGTGCTCATACCCTATGCAGGAAGTGCAGATTTGGCGAAGAGACTAGTCTCCACGTGCTGTGCGAATCGGCTTACGCTAAGCACAGACGAGTTTTATTGGGCTCGGAATTTCTCGAGCCCGAGCAGGTTTGGTAACTCCAAGCCAGGGACCTTCTCCGCTTCTGGGGAATGACAGGTATTGGCTGACTTGGAGTTAGCACGATCGGGAAGACACAATGGACCTCGTCTGTGTGTCGTTGGTGGACCTCCGATAGGAGGTTGCCTCTCGGGTGTATTATTATTATTGTTATTATTATACTCTACTGGGGGACTTCCGTTTCCGGTGCGATAGAAGTCTCACGTAGAGAGTGCAGAGTTGAGAAAGGTATTAAAGAGGATGATATATGATAGAGGATGGAAGAAGGAGTGGTAGAGGTGAGTGAGTGAAGGAGAGAGAGAAGGAGCGAGTGAGTGAGTGGGTGTGAAAGGGCCACAGGGCGGAGAAAGGGACAGGAAAGAGAAAGGGAAGTGTCCGAGGTATGATAGAGCGAGAAACGAACAGGAAGTATAGAGAGTATAGGGGGGTACAGTGGTGGGAAAAAAGTGGGGCAAGAAGTATAGAGAGTAGAGAAGGAGCAAGCAGTGAACAGAAGATAAGAGAAGGCAGAAAGCGCAGAATGAAGGAGAAGTTAAGATTAGCAAAGAAGGTGACAGAAAGACTGATTGAGAAGGGAAGGCGCGGGAGTTACAGAAATGTAGAGGAGTATATGATAAAGAGGAAGAGGGGAGAGATAGGAGAGGAGGAGAAAGGGGAAGAGAAAACAGGTAAATTTAAGAGGATGCTGAAAGGTCGGGAATTACCGACAATTGCAGTTGGAACGATAACTTCGAAAATACTAAACGGAATTAAAATCGCTTTTACAGGATTGAAATAGACATAAAATGTAATAGGGCGAGCTATTTTTTTGTAGTAAAAACGACAAAAAATTAAAAAATTACCTTTTTTCGGGTCGTACAGCAATCATAACCTATCACCTGACGTCAACATTTCATTGGTATAAAAGTTCTATAACTCATACGTACAAAATAAGTAGCTCGCCCTTTTCGGATTGCA